TCTTTGAGATCATGCCCACAAGAATGGGGACCACAAGTAAGCCAATGCTGGTCTCTCGAACACCCTTTCTACCAAGCCCAGCCTTGAAAAGCGCGGCAAGAACCGCGGCTGCCATCAACCGATCGTAATCATTCAGTGATCGCACTAGATGGATGAGCCATGGAATGAATGGGCTCTCAATATCCTCATTGGAGACGTCGACGGTATTTCCCAATGCTTGGAATCGAGGCGAGTCCCACACAGCAGACACAGCAGACGAACCAAACTTGCTCAGTGATGTTCTGCTAGAAGTCCTAGAGTCGGATCGATCTGGAGTGGGAAAAGACGATGCAGCGGCTGATGGCGTTCTCGATGTCGTAATAGGAAGAGAGGGGAGAATAAACTCCATAGCAGTTAAGCCGTTGTGTCTTGGTGGCAGCGCCTGCTGTGAATCCCGCGGATCCCCGTATGGTTCAAACTTGATGCTTGGGAAAATTGCTAGCAAGGAAGGCGAGCAGATGAGTCTGTTCGCCCGGTATTTGGAGTCACCAATAATGCAGCTGATGGCCTCGAGAATAGGTCCAATTTGGGCACCAGGGTTGGCCGCTTCGGGAAACACCTCGTGAAGCCCATCACTGTACGCATGCTCTTCCGCACCTGGCACGACAAGGCCATCTGCAACTGCAAACCTTGCCAATTGAGCAGCCAAGGAGTCTAGAATACCGCCCACGGTAAGGGCATGTTGGTGCCTGTCTTCTCGACACAGACGACTTATCAAGGTAGATGCGAGAACAACTTGGGATTGGAGGATATATTTCGAGGACGTCATCGAGAGCATCGCATGGAGCGACTCAATATGGTGGGAAGAGAAGACATTGTCGGCAAGAGTTTGTACATCGAGAGGTGACGGCGAAACGGCCAAACGGGCGGCAGAAGTGATGTCGAGGAGCGCTCTCAGAGAAGAAACGACCACCTGTGGGGGACTCGTGTAGGGCGAGATGTTTCCCAAAATGGCCGGTACGACACGAGCTGCGTGTAAAGGGTGAAGAAACGCGGGTCCACCTAGATGCAACGAATTAGAAGACGGGCAAATAGAATTGGTGAAGGGTGGCCGAGGACGCATAAGCGACAAGCCGCCGGGAGGGGAGTCATCGTCGTACCGTTGGCAAAGCTTGCGACGAGCTGCAGGGCCTGGAGCTTGACAGAATCTTCATCGGATAGAGGCCGCGACGGAGGCTGGACAGTAGCATCTTTTCCGTTCAATTTTGCGGGTGAACGGTTGGAATACAGAGTTCTGACTATGGGTTCAAGAACGCCGAGGCCAATCCATGCCTCCTTCTTCTGCACATGGCCAACTATTTCATTCTTGAGAGCCTGCAGAGCTGCCGTCTGCTCGGGCAGTGACTTTGCATTCCGCAGCTGTGCTAGAATCGGCGAATTCTGCGGTCGAGCCATGGGAGCTGTTCAACGAAACGGAGCTACAATTGATGTTGCTCTCGTTTGTTGGCGCATCGGCATCACGAGGGAGCGGATATCCGTGACGCCCGATTCCCAAGGTCCTACCCGGGTTTCCTGCGCTAGTCTATGGAGGATGATCGATCGTTACAGCAAGATGGTAGTCCCAGGTGCAGTGTCGATGGCAAGCGAAAAATCGATGTCGGGGGAGCAAAGCTGTGAATCTACAACGTAACGAAGCTCAATGATGCCCATTGTTGTAGTAACGGGTTTGGTGACATTAAGTTGGGGGGCACGTGCATTCCGTTTATCTTATCGGCTGAAGTAAGTTGGCGCGCATCTTGGCATGCAGTGGGCAAAGCCTACCGGACCTACCTGCCAAAGTACTAGGTACAGGAAAGAGCATTGCAATCCTGAAATCGTCAGCCAGCAGTAGCAAGAGACGATGTTGAGTGCTACCTGGACAGTATGGTACTCTGCAAAACATGAGAAGCATACATAAGAGCAATAAAGAAAATAAAAATTGCTCGGTGCTAGAAAATATTGTGCAAACACGACTTCATCAGACTCGACCAAGACCGAGGATTAGCCGAGAACTCATACAACAAGATGAGGTGCAAGCATTTCCGCCAGCTACCCTGGAGACACCATCTTCCAACTGAGCATATATACCTACCGATGTAGGTATGCTTATTCGCCATGGCTCTCTGGATCTTCGTCAACCTTAACCTGTGTATCGCTGACCAAGTATTCATCTAGCCGTCCACTGCCAAAGAATCATGCCGTCTGCTGAAATACCAGTACAACCTTGGTGCGAGTGACAAACCCAGCCGTGCTGGAAAAACAGCACCCAACCTTCGAATTCGGGTTTACGACGGGGTTCGATATTTATCCTAGTCGCGATTTACCCCGGAATCTTGATAATACTGGATCGTGGGTGTTTCTAGAAGGCACCGGGTGCTAAAATATCGGCAACCCAATATCCCTACCGAATTAGCTTCTTCGGAGCATCCAACTCACGGCCAACAGAGGACACGAGTTGACCGCGAACCTCCACGAGAGAAGGCTGCGTCGATGGAACTCCACATCCGCCGCGTCGGGCAGGCCCTCACACGAGGACCAAAATAGAAAATCCTGTTTGCCATTGATTGGATACTGGTCCGATGAATGCATTCGGTTTCGGATGGCACATGCTTCGTTTGCCTCCGCAAAACAAGTACTTGTTGTCAAGTAATACAAGATGCAAGAACCTCCTTTTGATGTTGTATGTGTGCGTCAGAACCTGTCGGGCCAGAGTCTGCCTTTGCAAGGGGTCGGTTTTACTCACTTGACGACAGCAAACCACCCAGGCAGCAAACAGGGCGCAAATGAGACAACGTACATGCCGGGCCATGCAGCTGCAGGTACGAATCAGGTAGCCCTATGCTGACACGAGGGTTGGTCGAGCCAGGGTATTTGCTCTCCGGGTTGATGGCCAATGTCTCTGATTGTGACGTGAGTCGTACAACATACTACGGAGTACTCGGTAAGTTTATTGAGACGACCGAGGAGGCTCGAGGGTCCATTTCCAACAAACATCCATTCTTGCTCCCTCGCCTCCACTGGACTAGCATGGGATGGAGTGATTAATTTACCCATACTAGACCTGTTCGAGGATTGGTCTGGGGTGCAGTGAGTGCTTACATTAGTTAGCCAGGTAAGTAGGTAGCTATGTGCGTATGTATGTACTCCGGGGTAGAACTTGGGAACTTTGGGGAAACCCGAGGGAGAATTCTTTGACACTGGGAATCTTGCCGACAACCGGTGTGGCTCCCATGGACAAGTTCAATCCGATGGCACAAGAAGTCTTTTTGGGCAAGCTATTCTGGGCATTGTCGAGTGGGTAGGTGGTGGTCTGGGGGCTGGGTCAAGCAAAGCCTTGCTTGGAATTAGTACTGACAAGTTAGAATATACTTTGCTCGTCTGTCCTTACGGAGTATACATGCTCCTATAAGAGCACTACACAATACAGCTACACTGACTGACAAGACCAAAATGGACTGTGCGATCATGAGTAGGGCAAACCACGATCATACCAACAGACGGCAGCAAATTGCGCTTGAGTCGCCCGGCATCATCTGATGATACGGAGTACTCCGCGCGTTTCTCGTGCCTCTAGAGAAGAAACCTCCAGAACGGAAATGCAAGCCTTTTTTCTCTCGCAAGAGAGGCCCACTTGGTTCAAATATCAAAGATGGTCGCTTTGCCCACTGGCGGAGTCGCAGACTCGAATGCAGTTCGCGGGCTGGCCGAGCGATGCCAGTGGTGCTCGAGCGGAGGGGCTGAGAGGTCAAGAAGGTGACGTTGGTGATGCATGTTGCCCCACGTGAAGTTGGCAGCATTTTGGCCATGTCGGAGCCCGCAGACCCCGCCGGCCGGGGGAGTCTGACGAGTGCAAGTGCTAACATTTAGCGATGACAATTCGAACCAGCAGGTTGACCAGTTGACTTGAGTGGACCAGAACGCACCAGACAGCTGGAGGCATTGACCCGACGGGGCCACAGGGGGAACACGGGGCGTGGGGAGGGCAGCAGGCACATACACGTAAGGCGTCCAGTCGCTGGCACCTGCGGCCAGTTGGCACCAACCAGCTTGGACACCCATAATGTGGTGGGCCATTGTCTGCATGTAGTGGTCGTAGTTGCCCAATTCAATTGGCGTTCCCTCATTTGCCCTTCTCTCCGACACTTCAAAATGTTGCCAGTTTCCTTGCTTCACCCTAGTACCTCCCATACTGTCTTTGTCTTGATTTGTTGATTCATTTTTGTTCCAACTAGGCAACTGTGAGGCCACCAGCTGACCTCCATAATTGCCATTGCATCACTTGAGCACGTCCTAAAGAGGGTGGGTGTGTGTTCTAACCACTCGACGGCCTCGCGCCTAACCAAACAGCCGCCGTCTTCAGCTATTACTAGTTGGAACTTTCCGCCACCTGCACTCGGCCGTCGTCCATCATCCGCAGATCGATCGCCCTGTCCTGACCCTGGCAGTCAAGACGTTCGCTCGCTTCTCGAGTTGAGCTGCAACTTACGTGCCAAGTCCCGAGTCCTGCAGACAAAAGTCATCTGAACAATCTCGGCCAGCGAACCAACACGTCGCCATCGCCGTCGAAAGACGCTCCTGCCTCGCCTACTCGAGTACCCAGCCCTCAAATACAAACGTGTTGTGCTCGTCGTGGTCGTCGCACTCGTTGCACTCGTTGCACTCATCGTACTCGCTGTGCCCAGCTCCCATATCGCTGCCTTGCGAACAGGGTGAGTCCCACGACCACAGCCAAGGGCATTTTTTTTCCTTTGCAAGACAGGGAACCACCTCATTCTGTTGTTCAATGAATCGTCTTGGCTGTCTTGGTGCCGTCCGCGCAGTCGATCCAAAGCGACGAGGTCCTAGAGCTTTTCCATAACCAAGCGCATCTCATTGTCGCATTGCCGCACGGAAGCGCCATAATCGCAAGCAACCAATTGGCATTCGCCGGACACAGGGCCTAAAAGCATCGTCTCGGTGCAGACGACGATGCGCTGTCCACCATGTTGAAGACATCTCCAATTCTCACCGGCTCAGCCAATGCGTCGCCTACCAGCTTTCGCCGCGGTCATGCAACGCCTCCGTCCCCCCAAGCATCTCCTCGATTGGCACCATCAACCTCGACCGCACGTCTGCATCGGTCAGCGACTACGTCTTCGCCAAAGGCTACCTCCAATTCCCCTCGTCGCCGGCACGCGAAACCAATCGAACCGGCTGTCGACGGCCGTGTGCATCATGACGGTGTCACTTCGCGCCAGAAGATCAACCAACTCCCTCCATCGCCGCAGCCCCAGCCCCAACACATTGTCACGCCTGCGGCTTCCGGCTCTCTGCCAAGCGGAACACCTGCGCACCCTCAATTATCAACCGGATCTGACAACGATGCTCAGAAAGTCTTGTCACCAAACAAGCGAAGGGTGTCTCCTGGTCACCTGAGTGATGATACGCCCGCCACCTCACAGACTGGTGAGAGCATTGCGGGTCGTGCGCCATCATCTGCAATAACTACTGCGCCGAAGCGAGCAAGGACTAGTGGGGAACCAAAAATTTTGCCTCAGCGCTACGAGCTTTGTGCAGTAGAAGACATTGTGGAGCTGATAGCTCACATGTTGGCTGAGTTGATTTCGACAAATGACGCCATTCGGATATCGAGCGGAGGGTTAACACGTTTTCATTCCAGGTACGTTCCCCAAGGCTGCAAAAGCTATGGCCTGATAGAACCCTTACTTTTTACCAATCTGTACCAAAAAAAACCTGTCTTCTGCCTATGCATGGTGCCCCTGACATAAAGATTACAGGACTGCGCCAGGCATATCTGTACGAGACTACCTTCACCGCCTGGCGAGACACGCTACACTTACACCTCCTCTACTTCTCTCCATGGTGTATTACATTGATCGTTTATGCGCCTTGTATCCGGAATTCACGATAAACACTCTCACGGTTCATCGATTCTTGATCACAGCAGCCACTGTAGCTGCCAAGGGGCTTTCCGACTCATTCTGGAACAACACGACTTACGCTAGGGTTGGCGGCGTCCGGGTTGCCGAGTTGAAGATGTTAGAGCTAGAGTTTCTCTATAGGGTGGATTGGAAAATCGTGCCTAATCCAGAGGTGCTCGTTGCATACTATCGGGGTTTGGTAGAGCGGACACCGCAATACGCACTGGAGTCCGACGGTTCCTCAGACGACTCGTCCATTGGTGACGATGAAGATGTTGATGAAGAGGAACAGAGGCGGCAGCAGAAAGAGGAGGCTCAAACTTGGCAGGAGTAGGATGCAAGGATGATACCCAATTAGACGACCAAATGGAAACGCACGACTACATGTGGGGTGAATTGCTGGAGGGTTATGACAAACGATGTACGACTGTTGGTTGTTCAAAATTTGTACAAATGTCTTCATCACTACATTGGAGTTGAGAAGGACACGGCCATGATTAGAAGTGGGGACAGCTGCCTTCGTGCTTTGTCCTTGTCTTTTTTTCACCTTTCTTCTTTTCTTCCTTTTTTTTCTTTTTTTTGTTCTCTCCCTGCATCTTGGAGCATATTGCATTATGGCGTTGTATGGTTCCGGCGTTGCGCTTTGTTCATGCCAAGGGTTGTTGAAAGGGATTGAGTTTTGGACGAAATAAGGGAGCGGGCTATGCAGATAGGGTCTGAACACTTGAATATACGAGGACGAGTTCCCATCTTGACGATCCATCACCCGAAGTACTTGCGGCTGGGTGCTCTTTATGTGCCTCTCGTGTATAGACTTGAACAGGCAGGATATCTGAGGTGACCTGACACCATTTTGCTATTAACCTGGGTCGGGTAGATTAATACCTCTACGTCTCGGGTCACCCAGTGGTGCAGATCACATCCAAAAGGGCAGGAGTCACGGGGTAGCCTGCTTTAATATTCCACCAGCGCGCCGCTTTGACCCTTTTTCACCATCTTCTCCATCCTGTCCCGTCACCGCTATGAGTTGCAAACGCGATATTTATCCCAAACGGCCTTGCGAGCCCTCGTTCATTGAGGTCCTCTGCAGCGTCGCATTCTGAAGATGGTGCAACCGGAACTATCCGCATGCTGTACATACGCGCGATGAACTAGGCAAATGCGCTGATAAAGGCTAATCTCATGCAGAAGCTTTGACGTGAAGAAGCGCACAAAAGTTCGCGTCTGTACTTCTAGCTGAAAAGAAGCTTTGATGTGAGGACCTCTGGCCGAACAGATGCGTTTTTCATTTCATTCCTTTTCCCTTTCTCCGCTGTGCGTTTCTTAGACCTAGGCTCAATGTTTACCATGTCGGTTGCCTGCAAGCCGCTGCTGTTTGTTTGTCCGCTGGCTTGGTTCTGTCATCCTATCAGCACCTGGTTGGTCTTTATGGTTTATGGGGCGCTATTATCCCCGGCAGCGTTTGCTTGCCTTGACATGGGCTTTCTCGCTTCACTGTCGGTGAGCGGCATGAAATTTGTTTGACGGGTTGTTCATGTTCAGAGAGTGAAGCGCGAGGCTTTTGTATCGTTTTGAAGAGGGCCGAAGTATATAGTGGTTGGCGCTGCCTGGTCCTACACTGACAGCATGGAAATCTAATCATACCTACATTTTTTAAATCTATTTTCTATTCATTCATTTTCGAATTCTTTTGTCATGTGGAAATTCGTTCTCATGCCCAACGAGATCAAGGGCATGGTCCTTGATCTCATGACAGCCGAAGACGTCTACGCCTTTACCAGAACAAGCAAAGACCATTACCGGGCCTTCCGTGGATTCATCTGGAGGCGCTCACATCCGATAGCCGGCACTGCACTTTCCCGGGAAATCCGAAGATGGGCGTTCGAAAACAAGCTCATCCGAGAGAAGGCCGCCACGGAGAGGCCGCACATCGCCACAGCCGAATGTGAGATCAACTACATTCTACGCATGAACCGTCGGGTACTGCAGCTGGGCCATTTTTGGCTGGCCGTGGAACTTGCGGACTGCAGTATCATATCGCGACTGGCTAAAGAAACCAACATTAAGGAAGAATGGGAGGAGTTTAGAGACTTGGACCTGGGGGACGAGAAACGCCAAATGTTCGATGATCTACTGAAGCTTTCACTAAAGCCGCCCACAAACGATCTTGCTGATGCTCTTCTTGATCTTCTCAAGATTGACAAATCATGTAATGACGACAAAGGAGCCCATCGTCTCACTCAAGCCTTGCTTGTGGCGTGCCGCTTTGGGAACTTGGAACTGGTCCAAAAACTTATTGCGCTGGGTGCCGACCCCGAAGGAGTGCTTGAGTGTGAATGGCCGCTCATGGTGGCTTGCAACACCGGGAAAAAGGAGTTGTTTGACCTTCTTCTCAAAAGCGGAGCCAGTATAAATGGAAGCTATGTGAAGCCATCTCAGATTACAACTTTGGGAGCGGCGATTAAAGGGAATAATGCCGAGATTGTCCACCACCTCCTCGACAACAAAGTATTCATCCAAGAGGTGAACAACACGATATTTTGCCACGCGGACAGGTTATTTCAGGGAGGTTCCGACTCCCGTGAACAACTTGAAATCAGGCAAATGTTATGCGAGAGGTTAGATATCAAGCGAGCATGGCACTTCCCTGACATCCCGGCATGGCTTCGTGGCGCCGTAAAAGCCAACAAATTGGATATGATGGAGCTGCTGTTGGAGCCTCTGTTGGAGCCTCTGTTGGAGCAGGCGGCAGATGAACCGACTTCTCCCCCCAAGCGCTGGAAAGCGTACGACGAACTGCTGGGCATCGCTTTGGATGAGCAATCTTACGATGTGGTTGACATTCTGCTCGACGCTTTCCCCCAAGTTTTTCGCTCCGAAAGACTCAACACACTATCATGTAAAACCCGAGCCGGCATTCTTGACAGAGCTATGCAAACAGGCAATAGTGCCCTTTTTTATCCGGTTCTTTCGATCGAGGACTTGAGAAAACAGAAGGAAAATGGCGATACGCTCTTGCATTACATCAGAGAGCCGAGCGCAGCTGAGAAACTACTTCTTGCAAGTCACATCAGTATTGATGCTCTTTCAGGGTCGGACGAAACTCCGCTGTCCAAAGCCTGTTGTCAAAACAACATGCAGATGGTCGAATTCCTACTTCGTCGAAATGCAGATATGGAAGCCAAAGATGACCGGGGATGCAAGTACTTCCAAGTGGCCGTAGAAAAGGCAGATGTCAAGTTGGTGTGCTTGCTTCTTGAATATGACGCCGATATAAGATCTGGGAGTGCAAATATCGCAACAAAGTTATCTATGGCTATCCACCATAAAAGATGGGCGGGACTTGAAGCTTTGCTTGTGAAAGGCCCGCCCGTACGCCTTTCAGTCTTTGAAAGAGCGGTGGAAGGGGAGGGAGAATTAGTGGAATTTGCAACGCTGCTTATTCGATTGAACAAATACACAGAGGATGTGGCGAGAAGACTATTGGATATTGTGGTACAGGATTCACAAGTCAAGCTCAGTATCGTTAAGCGTCTGCTAGAAGGGGGAGCAGACCCGAGCCCATCTCCGGAAGATGCTCCGGAAGATGCTCCGGAAGATGCTCCGGAAGATGCTCCGGAAGATGCTCTGGAAGATGCTCTGGAAGATGCTCTGGAAGATGCTCCGGAAGATGCTCCGGAAGATGCCCAAGGATATACTGATAAAATACACTCGCCTATAAGCTGGGCATGTTTCCACGGACGCAAGGACATCGCCGAGATACTGTTTCATCATGGGGCTATAGTTGAGAATGATGAAGACGGGACATCACCTTCGAATGCCGGAGCGTGGACGACACTTCAGGCTGCCGTTGCGGGAGGACACATAGAAATGGTTCTTTGGTTGCTTGACGGCAAAGCAGGGATCTCCCCGTCAAAAGGAGACCGAGATAGTTGGCACAGCCTATGCATAGTCGCGGTCAAGGCGGAAATCGGCATGCTCAGATTTCTCCTTGGGCGAGGCAAAGCGTATCTGTCGCGTGATGGCATTGAGGACATCCTGAAGGAGGGTGTGCAAAGAAATCAAGTCCAGATTGTCCAATATTTGATAGAGGATTTTGGTTTTACAAAGGCAGATTTCGACCGCATGCATCTCTTGCACAGCGCGAGACAGAACAGACGGATGATGAAGACTCTGCAAAACTACGGAGCTGACATCAACTTTTGAATACGCGCGGCAGAACGGTGCTCCATTACGCAGCACGCGATTGGGACCGTTGGTCAGTCGCGTTTCTACTTTACCGTGGTGCAGACGCCACGATACGCGACTAGGATAAGAGCTTAGCAATTCCTGATGCTTACAGGGCCATGCTAGTTTCGGAGATGTTTTGAGAATTATACAGGAAGCAAAGAGGTGCAGGATCGAATGGTTGATTTCGAGTGCGATTGTGCTGGATAGGAAATGAAGAGCATGCTTGGCACAAAACGTCGGAATGGAGAGAGACATGGAGCTGTGCTCGACTCGACCAGAGTCACCAGACTACGACGGCGAGACCCACTACCTAGGGTAGGCCAGGGTCAATACGTTTCTCCAGTGCGCTTCCTGCCCCAGCTCAGTCTCAACCACAAGACGTTCGTCATCAACCAGCTCTCAGAGCATCACGGTCAAATCTCGTCGCCTCCCGCCCGGCAACCATGCGAACAACAATTCTCCTCTCCGCGCTCTGCGCCGCCCTAACAACCCACGCCAACCCGCAAACTGCCGAAATCTCCATCCAACCCATCTCCTCTTCCCACCCTCAAGCCCCCCTCCCATTCGCCTCCATATCCTACGACCTCGCCGCCCTCGACTCTTCAACCATAACATCCTACGACGCTCCCGACATCCCCGACTCATCTTCCCTTGTCCGCATCGGCGTCTACGACCCCAAAGTCAAGTCCTGGCTCTCGGGAACAACGGTCGCCTCCACAGAGAACTTCGCCAAGGGGTACTCCCCCACCATCACAGTCTCCGTCAATTCGAGAGGGGACGTGCTAAGCGCTGCATTGAAGGGCGTACAGATTGACGCCGGGCAGACGAGGGATTTCGGCCCCAAGGTTGTGGTTTTGACGGAGGGAAGGGGCCCGCAACCGGTCCTGAATAAGCCGGTTGTTGTGTCAAAGGACGGAAAGAAGGTGGAGGAGGAGGTTGAGAAGACTTTCTTGCAAAAGTACGTTATACCCAGGATTTCAGGAATCGAGTATGATAGGTATACAAAAGGTGGGCGTGCTGACCATTTACAGGTACTGGTGGATGATTGGCATTGCAGTGTTTATAGCGTTGAGTGGTGGCGGTGGAGAGCAGGGCAAATAGAAGAAGGCATAGAACATAGACATGTTAATCGATTCTATTATATGGACTTGATGATTTGTTGGGCGGGTATTTCGCCATCCTTGATAGTACTCTCTCTGTAAGCGACGGTGACGATGCTGGTACTGGAGCTACAGATTGTAACTCAATCACCATGGATACGGCTCCATTCGGGTTCAAGGACCAAACGACTTGAGAGTAACGATACTCGAAGCTATTTGAGTTCCTAGAATGGCACATAATGTACTTTATGCGTCGGATTCGTTCCTGTTAATGCGGCATAGGTGATGTCATACGTACGATACGACCACCGAGAGACTCTAATTCCTATCATTACGCAAAGAAAACGATCTACATTCTAACAAACAATCATTGATCTACCAAGCCTAAGCCTGCTGCATGTTTCTGTCCCGTCTTCAACAGCTGCTAAATCGAACTCGTCCCTCGATGGACGCACGTGACCTACATTTTCGAAATGCGCTAGCTAAATTTGCCCTAGCGCCGTTGCTACGTACAAACAGACGTTCTCTGCTGGCCACAGCACCCACAGCACCTGCCCAGTTTAAGAGCCTGCCAGCGCCATGCAGAAAAGTGAACTGAAGCTCACCCCCATCTCATACGCCAAACTCACACTCACTCCCAATCTTTTTTTTTCTCTAATTGCCCTTCTCATCATCTCACTCCAGCTCTGAAACCCCTCTAAATAGCATCGTGTCGACTTCAATCACTTCAACCATGGCTGAGAACGGCACAACTCTCCCCACCAACTCTTCCACTGAGGAGACCGGCTTTGCTCAGGGCAAGGGCAAGGGCAAGGCCGCCGCTGAGGGCGCTCCTCGCACTGAGGATGCTGCCATGGATGAAGAGGACGAAGAGGATGATGATGATGATGACGAAGACGAGGATGAGGTATGTACCCAATCTTGCAAACTAGCTTTTCTCATTCTGCTCAGCCAACTAACACGGATACCTAGAACGGCGAGGGCGGTAAGCGCAGTAGCCGGCGGCTCTGACACGGGACCAGGGCAACTTTGCTAATGATTTTCTTCTAGGCGACGAGGAAGACGGCATGGAGGAGATTGATCTGAACAATATTGTTGAGGGTGGCCGCCGCACGCGCGGCACCGTCATCGACTTTGCCAAAGCCGCTGAGCAGCACCCCGTGGAGGAGGATGAGGACGAAGATGACGATGACTTCCAGCCCCCTACTGAGGACACTGAGATGTCGGGTTAGATGAACCCCGTGAATGGGCGTAGGGCGAACCTGCGTATGAGCTACGAAAGCAAAAGCATGGTCCCATGGGCCCTGACGGGCATGGGTTTCTATCAAAAGTGAATTGGAACAACAAGAACGGATGTGGTATGACTGCGGGAATTCGCTTGCTTGCTGGTGGGTCGCCTTTGGATCTACATGTGTGGTTCTCCCGTGGATGGATATAAACGCAAGGGAGGCAATAGTGAGCTGTTATTTTTTTCCCGGTTGCTGGGTACAATTTCGAGCAACAACATTTGCTTGAAGGGGGGGAAGCACAGTTAAATGAAAGCATTGCCGTTGAAATTATAGTGTGGTGTGGTATACTGTGCTGCTTGTGCTCTCAGGAGTGTAGACGGCAGTCAGCTGGGTGAAGCACAAAAATAGTTCCCGCTGCGCGCCTAAAATTCAGTTCGAGAGCTCTTCAATCGGAACCTAGAACGGGTATCTTCATCGCCGTTGTTGAGGTAAAGCTTCACCTCTCGTCATAGGTAGCTTGTTGCACTATGACGGAGCTAACGAGCTGGCCTGCAAAGGAGTTTGAAGAGATTTTGAAACGGTTCAAGAGCCATGCATTGATTTATATTACTTTTGCAGAAAACAATTAAACGTGGAGTCAACACATGGACTTGGTCCTTCTAGAATACAGTAGACGCGATACTTCGAGGCTAACACGCTGGCACTCGTCATCCCAACGCAAGTCGGCACTGCCGCGGTACGTACCACCCGTCGCCAACCAGCCTACCAATCGCGTGCCACGGCTCACTTGCAGTTCCCAGTCCCAAATGCAACACTTGTGGCGTCCATCTTCCAAACTTGCATCAAGACCACCTAAGCCATAACTCGACCCTGGAAGATGACATTTTAATTTTCATTTCGTCCATTGTTTCTCCTCTTTTTCACTTTCCCCCCTCTATTTTCCTTTGATATTACCTTCTCCCAGTCCGTTCCCGCACACCAGGAAAATAGCCCACCCGTGCCATCATGGCCCAGCGGTCAGTCAACCTCCTATTCCCAAACCTCCCCCAAAGCGCCTCAACCACACAAAAGAAATCCAAACCAGCTTCCCCCACAGCAGACAAGCAAGCTAACCGGCGTCCCAGGTTCGGCGCGTCGTCCCTCCACCAGCGCGACTCCCGCTCCGCCCTCTTCGAAGGCTACACGGGCGGCGACCACACTCCGCGCGGGCACAGTCCCAACCCCTACAACCCCGGGTACGCAGCGGCCTACCCCAACGGCGGCCACAGCGAGCGGCACGGCCTCGGCTACAGGGCCGCCACACCAAACAGGAAGGGCCAATACAGCGATGCCGTGCTCGACGAGCTGGAGAGCCAGAACGAGGACCAGGTCGCCGGGATACTGGGCAAGGTCCGCACCCTTAAACATGTATGTGACTTTTTTTCCCGGGTACGAAACGCAAAGTAGACGCAGTGTGCTGACGGTGGCGGTGCGCAGATGACGGTGGCCATCGGCGACGAGATCCGCGAGTCCTCCGCCCTGGCGGATAAAATGAACGACGCCTTTGACGACGCGAGGATGCGCGTCAGGGGCACCATGAATAGGATGAAGATTATGGCCGAGCGGACGGGCGTGGGGTGGAGGCTGTGGCTGCTGTTCTTTGCGGCCGTCGGCATGCTCTTCTTCTACGTGTGGTTGTTCTGACGGGCTGGGCTGCACCCGGGGGGGAAAGAGAAACGAATATCTTGGAGAGGTGAACTAAGTGGGTGGGTGGTTTTTTACGGTTGAGCTTTGAAAATGCATATGGCGGGCGTTATTCTTTTGGGGTATTTTTTTCTTCTTCTTACTCTTGCATGGTGGAGGAGATTGATCTTTTAATACGAGGCTTGGATTTCGTCTGGCGGTGCCGCATGGGCTTGAGATGCTGGTGCGTGCGACGACCGTGTTTGAGCCTTGACTATGTTTGGGTCTACGAAATGAGATTCATCAATTGGGCATGCCGTGGCTTTGAGTTGAACATTGCGTTGCCTTTGGTACGGGAAAGGAAGCGGTTTGAGGCACAAGCAATACCGGCCTGTCTATGTACTCGGGTAGGTGCCGCAATCATGTCAGTATACTAAATCAATCACGGCATTCAAGTCACGGTGGGGCATGGGCCAATAATGATAGACAGTTCAAGGTTTCATATTCAGTCGCTCCGGGCACTTCCAGCGCGGTATAGCATAAACTGAAGGGTTTATACTTGAAAATACCAAGTAATCCTGTTGTACACTCACGCCACCCACCATCATGGTATCGACCGCTCATCATCGACCGCCAATTAATCATCGACTAACCTTCTTTATCGTGGGTATCATATTCATACTCGCGTATTCATCCATGTCGTCTTCTCTGGACAGGGCTACTGTCCATAAAACTACTCTCATCCTGACTCAGGATATTGCTCAAGTCCAAACTCTCCCTCCCCGAGACCCTTCTCCCCCGTAATGTCGGGCTCTGAGGCGGTGCCATCTGTGCCGTTCTGGGCACGAATCCAATATCCTCATCCTCTTGCTCTTCATCACGCTCTTCGTCGTCGCTGCTGCTTAATTCAGCCTCGGAATCCGTGTGTTCGTACAGACCGCTCTCAGCTTCGGGGATGTCATCGTCCAGATTTGCCTCCATGCCATCATGCGCAAAGTCATCTTCGTCGAGCATGTGACCCTGGTGCTCTTCCTCGAGCTCTTCTACTCCGCCGTACATGTCATCGCCGTCGGGGTCCCCGCGGACAAGAGCTTCACGAAATGCGTCGTCGGTCATACGCATACGTGCTGCCATTAGGTCGTTTTGGCGTTCTTCGCGCAGAGCTTCATCGTCTAGTTCTTCTGGGTCTTCTGCTTCGAGTCCCTCTTCATCTCCGTCATCGTCTTCATCGTTGTCTCCCATGCCAAAGTGGTCATCGGCATCGGGAATCTCATCGTCGAGATCATGTGCGCCGTCTAGTTGTACATCATCCATCATGCCTTCTTCCGGCATGCCGCCTCCTTCCGCTTCGGCAAGTTCCTGAGCTAACTGTTCTCGACGCATGGCTTCCTGGTGCTCTTCTTGTTCACGCTTTTCCTCGCGCATCTGGTGTAGGGTCTTGGCTACACCAGGTGGCCGTAGCCAACCGCTTCCAAAGTTTTGTACCTGCATTCGGCGTCGATGCATAAATTGCTCGTCGGCGGCGAGACGCGCGAGTGCTGTTCGTTCTATAATGTGGCCTCTTGACCTTGATTGGCCAGAACCATGGTTATGGGTTGGTGAGTCTCCATGGTGCGTATCGTGCAGTCCCTGCGGTTGCGCGGTCCCTCCTCTGGACGACGTGTACCACAGCGAATGTGACTGGGAGGTGATTGTCAGCCAAGTCAAATAACATCGGATAATGCAGGCGCCAATCTTACATCTCGCGGGGTAAAGTCGGGGAGAGTCGTCAGCATTTCTCACGGCAAGCACCGATAAGCACACCGCGCCGTAGTATGGTTGAGCTTAATCGTCCTTTGAATGTTTGCGGACATTGAAGGTTGAAGGTGGTCGTAAACAACATGGTTCCTGGCCCAAAGGACCCACAGCTGCCGCGCGTGGCGCGCTTAAACAGCCGCCAGTATTGGGCTTCCCAATGTACAATGCTAGGTATGTATGCGTATGTATGTATCGATATGGTAGAGCAAGATGCATCGCATGATGGACATATGTTACAGACGGAGTAGCCAATCATTTAGCCATTTTGACTCTTGACTGGCACAGACAACGCAACGTCACCCCCGTACCGTCCAGAAAGCATGTACATTTGTATTGACAAGGTCACAGGCAAGTTGCACGTCATGCCTCCCCGGAAAGGCTACCCTACAGTTGTGCAGACGGGAATTTCACAAAATCTGCAGTCCGGAGCCGGTATTCCAAGCCCGGTCATCCTGGATAGAAGAGGACCGTTAAAGGCCATTACGTGATGCTCTAGGTATGTATGCATGACCATGAGGGCAGCCGACCACGTTAGCGATTGGCGGTGCTTGGTCGCGTGTCTTCTGCGTATTAACAGACGTTTGCATGTTAACATGTTCCACGTTGCGTGATATTTTTACTGGTTTGCCGCAGCTGCACCCTCGACGTCGGGACGAAGAGATGATCGGGATTTTCCGGGATCCTTCGCCTCAGCTTCCATCCATGCCCTGTTGTGCCCGAACTGGACCAAACTGGACCTTCACCGCAGGGGATTGACAGGCAACCGGCCCAGGGTCCTGACAACCTCGCACCAGACAGTTCTGAAATTATGGACCGCGTGAAACACATGTTCCTCAGCATGCGCTGGCGGTCAGCAACTACTCCGTAATACTGGGCTCAGGGTTGAACTCATTTACAGCCACACTACGGAGTACGTAGTGGGCACCAATGTGCAATGTGACAGAATTCCGGCTGGAAATAGCATGTAGGGCGGGCGTGTGCCGTTCTCTCGGAGCCTGTCTCGTTTCTTGTCGAGGTACGCCAAACCCAGGTCGATAGGCTGATTATCAGTAGAGAGCGCCCGAGTGAATACCAATCGCCAACCATGGAAAGAAAAGGTTATGGCCACTGTCCATTCCGAAATCCCACCATTGATTGACTATTTGAGTTTGAGCTTCATCCTGCCGCGAACACAAACACCCTGAAGGACGGGGCTGGATTTTGTCAAACCATGGCATCCTGTGCCAGTCTTTCTGGTTCTGGCCTGTGCTACGGTTGCACCACAGCATGTGCGCGTTCCCTCCGTTGATCGACAAGCTTCAGAAAGGCTGTGACAGCAACGTCAGATTGGTCATTTTCATTTGCCACCAGAATCGCATGTCAATACCGTATTGTACCTAGATGGACGCCATTGAACTCTGCCAGGCTGATCACCGACTCTGACGGACTCCTAGAGGCAGGATAATGCGGCACTCGCCATCAGTCGATGTGAGTTGACAGCCCGGCAGCCTGCTCCACGTCGAGATAAGGGCGGAAGCGCCATGATTGGTTCACCTTGCTCGTTTTCTGTTGTCGATTCATTGACAACAGCTAGACCGAGGATGTGGGTTACAACAAGGAAACATGGCTGAAATATAACTGGTATATCCGAACCGGTTCCGATCGTTGGTGAAAGACTGCTGCGCATTGCTTTGTTGCAAGGAGGGCCATTTCATTCCTTTTGCCGCCAAGTGCGCAGAAACTCCGACGGCTGATGCTCGTGTCGGTGCTGATTTCCCTTGCCACAAAACATCATTCGCTACGTGTTCGAAGCAGAGCATCCTCCACCGGGAATAAATGGTCAGCCGCCCTTACGCCGCGCATAACAATGATGAAGGACAAAGAAAATAAAAGTTATGTCGTGTACGTATAACAAACGTCCGCAGTGGCACCGGCCAGTCCTCATGGTCGGCGAGGGCTAGACCATGCAATGTGTCTGCCTGTGAAGCAGAGATCTCGCGGGACAAACACACCTGCAGCCACGTTGAGACTGACCAGTAGGGCAACAAGCAGCGTCTCGTCTCCTTGGCCAACCACTGCAACGATGCAACGAGGCGGAAATATTGCTGCTCGAATGGCTGGCAGCAGCCCCGTCCCCCGCGTCGCGGTGACGACACTCATGCAGCATCCTTGTCTGAATAATTTAGAGTGACCGTGTCTTCTGGGACCAGCGCGACATCGGCGTCAGACGCTTTGAAATTCCAGGCCATGATTGGCGCAAGAGAGTTTTCTCCCCTAGTGAGATGCGGCACCCTTGACGTTGCCCTTCCAAGCCTTCCGAGGCAAACCATGACGGCTGGCTGCATCCTTGGAAGCACATGTGGGCCCTGATCCCGCATTCGGAGATTCTGGCACCAGATTTCTGTTACAAAAATGTAGTAGCAAACCGCTTCATGATTACCACCGATGTGAGGGCAGAGATATACATCCGACGAATGTGGAAAGCCACATATACGGTTGCAAAGCAACACCACCATCCGCGGGTTTTTCTTGTGCACGGAAACCTTAGCTCTTGCTCCTGGTCTGGGCCCCTCCCTCGTAAATTATTGACTGGGCGGGGAGACAATGAGACCATTCTTTCTGCCCGTCTGCTGTTGCGGATGCCTGCCACTGCCACTGCCACTGCTCCGCATCTCTGGGACCGCACTGGCTTACCGAGCCCATTAACGCTGGTGACAAGCCGGGGTGCGGTTTTGTGAGGGTAATTTAGGGGTTTTTCGGGGGTAATAAAATAGTTTTTCGGGGGTAATGGAATAGTATTTTGGGGGTAATCAGATCTCGCTCGGCAGACGCAATAGGCAACGGCCCCAGAAACCATGCCCAGCACCATCTGAGTTTATTACGTACGGACCTGCAGCGTGTGGCTAGATCCTGGGACGGGATAGATCGGGATCCCGGCTGGACGTTTTCCCACCGGTCCCAGCTCCCCTGCCGTCGTGGTTGGAATGTGTACAGAAAATTATAGTTCTACTCAGTCCCTCCCATGCCACAAGACCGGCGGGTTGGGGGCTTGTCAAACACCAGTGTTAGTTCCAAGTCTGAATATGGTGGGCATAGGCGAACTGGCTGTGCTGGCAACGGTATGCGGCATCGGAGGCGTAAGAGGCGGCAGACGGAGAGAAGGCCAGCACGGAGGTCCCCTTCCTTCGCGTTTCGGCTCAACCAATCTGCGTGGAAGTATTAGTGAAACAGATCATTGTTCATTGAGGTGTTTTCTGACATGTGCTTCTTGGGTGGTGGAGAGTGGAGGGGTTGGTTGCTGCCCTGCTGGCCTCGTCGGCTCGGACGCCTCTCGGTCGGATTGTCGCCTTGTCCAGTTACTTGGGCGGACATGACAGGACCGCTCGCAGAGCGGGTAGGCCACGCTACTATTACACGAAGCACCGAGCTTGTGAGCTCTCCAGCAGCAAATTAATGCAACATTGGTGAATTTTGTGTGTAGGGCCACCACCCATGGCGTTGAGATGATCCCAGTAGACTCCACAAAGTCGCAGCTAATCAAGCCCCCGGTAACCCAAATAGCCGCTGGTGGGGGAGCGTCCATTTTCTTCGTCTTAGTAGAGTTGCCCACCACCAAGGGTTATCGTTTCTGCAGCACGGAGTAACGTGCTGGGATTTTGGCCCTGGCTTGGCGTCTGGTTGACTCGACTGACTTTTTGGCTATTGTGGATTATGTTTGAAAGATGATGAGCGTGAGCGGGCGAGGCCGGAGAACGACTCCATGGCACAATAAAAGCATGGCTCTTTCCCCCCTCCCCCAGACATCCTACTGAGCTTTCTCTCTTTTTGAAGTCTTGCTCTATCTCCGCATTTGACTTGTAGCGAGCTGCGTTGAAACCCTTCATTGATCTATCAACCCGAAAAAAATATTCCCATCCCCCTGGTAAGTTGATTGAGTCAATCCCCCTCTTCTCTTCCTTTTCCTTTCGTTTTGTGATGTTCTGTTGCGCCGTCGAATCGACCAAGTGGGGGATATCGACTGTCGCGGGAGTGAAATTCAGGCAGCAGGGAGCTTCGACCTCGAACGTTGTTGGCCTATTCTGGTCATGCCGTAGTCTCTGGAAACATTTCAGTGACTGCCGATCTGGTTCAACGAGACGAAGCAAATGTGGTGGCCATCAATGGCAGACGACAACTTCGCGACATCCTCAATAATAAGCCCAGAGGCAATTTGATCGGCAGCCAAAAAAAAAAAAAGGTGACGAAACACGGAGTGAAGCAGGCATACCAAAAGACATCAGCAGCTTGGCGATGTCGGCAAAATATGTGGTCTTCATGGGACGAAGACACATGCGCAAGGACAAGGGACAAGCGACCTGGACTTGGGCGGGCTGGCGCAGGGTCTCAATCAGCGGACTGTTATTGGCTGCACGCTGCACGCTGACATCTGCATCGCTCCTGCTGTTGCATCATGCAAACGAATGCCGCTCGTCACCACGGATCAAGGCTGCAGCCTGGTAATATTGAGAAGAGCTGAAAGCAGAGCTCGGAAGAGGAACCCGAAATATTCCCATTCTGATCCTACAGGCCTTGCTAGGAGGTTGAATCAATGGCAGTTTCGACTCGATGATGCGTCGTTGCTGGGCTTCGCTGCAACGCATGCCAAAAGCCAATGCAACCAGATTGGAAACCCTCACGAGCTGGCACGGTTGGTTTTGCGACGGCTACGGGCTGCAAGGATCACCAAGCGCAACTGGCTCTTCTCTGCAGATGGACTTGGAGGGCTTGGAGGGGCTCGTGGGGCGATGACCCGGCTCCGGATCTCTCCCGGCTAAAGCCAAAAAAAAAGAAAGGAAAAAAAAAAAACAAAGGGCCAAACCTCGTGGAAGTCAGATGTCAGCAAGCAGCTCAGTGGCCGCAAGCTGGTGCACCAATGCAGGTGCGAATGGATCCACGACGCCACTTTGTCTCCACCAAGCACATCAATTACCAGGTATCTGGGCTAGTACTAGTCGTTTGCTAAGCGGCATCGGACGCCTTACACTTGAGCACATGCAGGTTCTTGGATGATGGCCCAGCGGCCTGTCTGCCATCAATCCGCCGTTCCTACTGTCCAAGTGCTTCGGGCAGATCCCGTTGCGGCTGGTCTTACATCATTTTGTTGCACAGCTGTGAATTGTCTTTATTTGACGATTTTCCCTTCATTTCTTCCTTCTCTGCGTATCGAGCACTCATACCATTCGCTCCAACTTTTACTAACCGCCCTCCCTCCTTAGATAGATCTGTTCCAGAGCAGCCCTCGGCGCTGCTCTCACCCCTTCGACAAACCTAGCCATAGCAGTCCTCTATAGGCACGAAGCCTTAGCGGATCCTGCCCTGCAAAATCAAACTGCCAACACTCTCAGCCCAAGACTTCAACTTGTAAGCCTTGCCTAGCATGGGCCTGCTTCCTGAATTCGACGATCGACACATCGAAGCTGAACAGCAGGAATACCACCCATATGAGTATCAAACTGACAACAATGACTCATGGGCTGGTGCCTTGCCGGTGAAGCAGGGTCTGTACGACCCGGCTTATGAACGAGATGCGTGTGGTGTCGGCTTTGCTTGGTGAGTTGTAACAACAATCAGCCTCCCGTGAAGAATGTGGAACAGCTAACAGAGGAGTACAGTCACATCAAGGGCAAGCCCAGCCACAAGATTGTCAGCGATGGTAAGTAGCTCGCGGATGGCTGCCTTCCATCCCCGCTGGAAACATTTGCTCATGAGCTAACGCGTGGACAGCTCGCAATTTGCTGTGCAACATGACCCATCGTGGAGCCGTGGGATCTGACGCACGAGACGGCGACGGAGCTGGTGTCATGACATCTATCCCTCATCGGTTTTTCATCAAAAACTTTGAAAAGGAGCAGGACATTAAGTTGCCCCCTCCTGGCCAATACGCTGTAGGAAACTTGTTTTTCAAGCCCGACGAGGAGACTCTTGAAGAGTCTCAGAGGCAGCTGGAAGATGTTGCCGAGTCGTTGGGCCTTCGGGTCCTGGGATGGCGAAGGCCTCCCGTCGACTCGACACTGCTCGGCCCCGCGGCGAAGTCTCGTGAGCCCATCATTGCTCAACCCTTTGTCGTCCTTGCCTCTGCCTATGGCTCTGGTGTCGCTCCGGAGATGACTGATCCGCAAAAGTTTGACGAGAGATTGTTCGAGCGACAGCTCTATGTTCTCCGAAAACGTGCCACTCATACTATCGGTCTCAAGAATTGGTTCTACCTCTGCTCCTTGTCCAACAAGAATATTGTCTACAAGGGTCAACTCTCTCCTGTCCAGGTGTACTCGTACTACCATGATCTGGTCAATGCCGATTACGAAGCTCACTTTGCTCTGGTTCACTCTCGATTCTCCACAAACACCTTCCCTTCATGGGACAGGGCGCAGCCTCTTCGATGGGCCGCCCACAATGGTGAAATCAATACCCTGCGAGGCAACAAGAACTGGATGCGCGCCCGGGAGGGCGTAATGAACTCTGATATCTTCAAGGAGGAGTTGGAGCAGATGTATCCAATTGTCGAGGACGGTGGCTCTGACTCTGCCGCCTTTGATAACGTCCTCGAGCTTTTGACCATCAATGGCGTGCTCTCCCTCCCCGAAGCTGTCATGCTCATGGTTCCCGAGGCCTGGCAGGGCAATGACCAGATGGACCCCAAGAAGGCCGCTTTCTACGAATGGGCAGCTTGCCAGATGGAGCCTTGGGATGGCCCTGCTTTGTTCACATTTGCCGATGGCCGGTACTGCGGCGCCAATTTGGACAGGAATGGCCTCCGCCCTTGCAGATTCTACGTCATGGATGATGATCGCATTATCTGCGCCTCCGAAGTCGGTACTATTCCCGTTGAGCCTGAGAGTGTTATCCAAAAGGGTAGATTGCAACCCGGAAGAATGCTGCTGGTAGATACTAAAGCCGGTCGCATCATAGACGACAAAGAACTCAAAGCTGCTGTTGCCAACCGCCACGACTTTCGCTCATGGCTTAGCAAGGAGCTTCTTACCATGCCCAAGCTTCTGGAGAAACTCGAGTCTGCTATTGACCTCGCTGCTAAGCCCAATGCTATACCCCTACAAGAGGACCCTCTTTTGCTTTCTTTTGGATATACTCATGAGCAGGTCAGTTTGCTGCTTGCTCCCATGGCTGCTGATGAAAAGGAAGCACTGGGATCCATGGGCAATGATGCTCCTCTAGCTTGCTTAACCCCAGCACCTCGACTGCTGTATGACTACTTCCGTCAGCTCTTTGCCCAAGTCACCAACCCTCCGATTGACCCTATTCGAGAGTCTATTGTCATGTCTTTGGAGTGCTATGTTGGCCCCCAAGGCAACCTTTTGGAGATGGATCCCTCTCAATGTGGCCGCCTTTTACTGCCGAGCCCCATTCTCTCCATCCCCGAGTTCAACGCCATCAAGAACATGTCCACCGTCCAACCTGAATGGACTGTCAAGACTATTGACTTGACTTTCCCCAAGTCCCAAGGAGTTCAGGGCTATATCAAACATCTGGATGAAATTTGCAACGAGGCCACTGCTGCCATCGAGGCTCGTGACAGAATCATTGTACTTTCCGACCGCAAGACCTCAGCTGACCGGGTTGCCGTCTCTGCTGCTCTAGCATCGGCCATGGTGCACCATCATCTTGTCAGCAACAAGTGGCGTTCCATGGCCGCTCTAGTAGTTGAAACTGCTGAGGCTCGTGAGGTCCACCACATGTGTGTCCTGCTTGGCTATGGCGCTGACGCTATCAACCCATATCTTGCCATGGAGTGTGTACTCAAGCTGAACCGGGAGGGATTGATCAAAAAGAAGCTTTCGGATGAGGCCCTTATCCGCAACTATATCCACTCTTGCGATGGAGGCATCTTGAAAGTCATGAGCAAGATGGGCATCTCCACACTTGCCTCTTACAAGGGTGCTCAGATCTTTGAGGCTCTCGGTCTCGATGAGACCGTTGTCGAACGCTGCTTCAAGGGTACAGCTTCTCGTATCCAGGGCTTGACGTTTGAACTCATCGCTGAGGATGCCTTCCGTTTCCATGAGCGCGGTTTCCCGTCCCGGTACACTGTTGATATCAAGGCCCTTCCAGAGTCCGGAGAGTACCACTGGCGTGATGGTGGTGAACCTCACATCAACAGCCCTGCCGCCATTGCTAATATCCAAGACGCTGTTCGAAACAAGAACGATAAGTCATACGAGGCTTATTCTAAAGCCGAGTATGAGCAAATCAAGAACTGCACTCTCCGAGGCCTTTTGGACTTCAACTTTGAGGATGCTACCCCTGTGCCTATCGATCAGGTGGAACCATGGACTGAAATTGTCAGACGATTCTGCACTGGCGCTATGTCTTACGGCTCTATTTCCATGGAGTCTCACTCCACCCTGGCTGTCGCGATGAACAGACTCGGCGGCAAGTCTAATACTGGTGAAGGTGGCGAGGACCCCGAGCGATCGGAGCGCATGCCAAATGGTGACACTATGCGGTCTGCCATTAAGCAGGTTGCCTCCGGCCGTTTTGGTGTCACTTCTGCCTATCTTGCCGACTCTGATGAGCTTCAGATTAAGATGGCACAGGGTGCCAAGCCCGGCGAGGGCGGCGAGCTTCCTGGCCACAAGGTCTCCAAGTCTATTGCTCGCACCCGTCACTCTACTCCTGGTGTCGGCCTCATTTCTCCTCCTCCTCACCATGATATTTACTCTATTGAGGACCTTAAGCAGCTCATCTACGATTTGAAGTGCTCTAGCCCCCGATCACGAGTCTCCGTCAAGCTCGTCTCCGAAGTCGGTGTAGGTATCGTGGCCTCTGGTGTGGCCAAGGCCAAGGCTGACCACATCCTCATTTCTGGACACGATGGTGGTACTGGTGCTTCTCGATGGACTGGTATCAAGTATGCTGGTCTCCCTTGGGAGTTGGGTCTGGCCGAAACCCATCAGACCTTGGTTTTGAACGACCTTCGTGGCCGAGTTGTTGTCCAGACTGATGGCCAGCTAAGGACTGGACGTGACGTTGCCATTGCATGTTTGCTCGGTGCTGAGGAATGGGGCTTTGCCACTGCGCCTCTCATTGCAATGGGCTGCATCTTCATGCGCAAGTGCCATTTAAACACCTGCCCTGTTGGTATCGCCACCCAAGACCCTGAACTGCGAAAGAAGTTCCAGGGAACGCCTGAGCATGTCATCAACTTCTTCTACTATATTGCCAATGAGCTTCGAGCCATCATGGCTCAGCTGGGTTTTCGTACCATTAATGAAATGGTTGGCCATGTCGAACACCTCAAGATGCGTGATGATCTTCGCACGCACAAGACTGCCAATATTGACTTATCGTTGCTCCTGACACCTGCTCATAAACTTCGACCTGGTGTCGCCACTTTCAATGTCCGAAAGCAAGATCACAAGCTTTATGTTCGCCTTGACAACAAGCTCATCTCAGAAGCTGAGTTGACTCTCGACAAGGGTCTCCCATCCCGAATCGAATGTGACATTGTCAACACTGACCGAGCGATGGGTACGTCGTTGTCGTATCAGATTTCCAAGAGATATGGCGAGGCTGGCTTGCCTATGGACACTGTTCACGTCAACATCAAGGGCTCTGCAGGTCAGTCTTTCGGCGCCTTCCTCGCACCTGGCGTCACACTGGAACTCGAGGGTGATGCCAATGACTATGTCGGGAAGGGTCTTTCTGGTGGTCGCTTGATCGTCTACCCTCCTCGTAATGCCGTTTTCAAGGCCGAAGAAAATATTCTTGTTGGCAACGTCTGTCTCTACGGTGCCACCGCTGGAACTTGCTTTTTCCGCGGTATTGCTGCCGAGCGATTCGCTGTCCGCAACTCTGGTGCTACGGCAGTTGTTGAAGGTGTTGGTGACCATGGTTGTGAGTACATGACTGGTGGTCGTGTTATCATTCTGGGACGTACTGGACGCAACTTTGCTGCTGGTATGTCTGGTGGTATTGCCTATGTGCTCGATATCCACAGCGACTTCCGATCCAAGCTCAACACGGAAATGGTTGAGGCTGAACCGATCACGGACCCTTCTGAAATTGCCTTTGTCCGTGGCCTCATCGAGGATCACCACCACTACACTGGATCCGAGCTTGCTGCCCGTATCTTGGTTGACTTCAACCGTGCCCTCCCTCGCTTTGTCAAGGTCCTTCCTGTTGACTACAAGCGAGTCCTGGAGGAGGAGGCTGCCAAAGCTGCTGAGGCTAAGCGTGCTGAGTACAACCTCCCTGTTGTTTCTGGAGTGAAACACAAGAAGGAAGAGAAGGCTGCTAAGTTGCAGGATTTGGAGGAGGCTATTGGTGATGCCAAGGCCGAAAAGAAGAGGGCTTTGGTGCTTGACAAGACTAAGGGGTTCATGAAGTATGCTCGCCGCTCTGAGAAGTACCGCGCTGCTTCGACCCGGACTAAGGACTGGGCTGAACTCAGCTCTCGTCTTGACGAGGATGAGCTCAAGTATCAGTCAGCCCGTTGCATGGACTGTGGCGTTCCGTTTTGCCAGTCTGAGACGGGATGCCCCATCTCCAATATCATTCCCAAGTGGAATGAATTGGTCTTCTCAAACCAGTGGAAGGATGCTCTTAACCGCCTTCTCATGACCAACAACTTCCCCGAGTTCACTGGACGTGTGTGCCCTGCTCCTTGCGAGGGAGCCTGTGTCTTGGGCATCAATGAAGATCCCGTCGGTATCAAATCTATCGAATGCGCCATCATTGACCGTGGTTTCGAGATGGGCTGGATGATTCCCCACCCCCCTGAGATCCGCACCGGCAAAAACATTGCCATTATCGGTTCTGGTCCCGCTGGTCTTGCTGCGGCCGACCAGCTCAACCGTGCTGGTCACAGCGTCACCGTCTACGAGCGTGCCGACCGTCTTGGTGGCCTCTTGATGTATGGTATCCCCAACATGAAGCTTGACAAGCGCATCGTCAAGCGCCGAACCGACTTTATGGCCGCGGAGGGCGTAAACTTCAAGACAGGCGTTGCCGTCGGTGAGGAGGGTCAGCCGTCACTATCTGACCTTCGTGCCAGTAATGACGCCGTAATCATTGCTACTGGTGCCACGGTTGCCCGTGATCTGCCTATTAAGGGCCGTGAGCTAGGCGGCATCCATTACGCCATGGAGTTCCTGCACAAGAACACCAAGTCTCTCCTAGACTCGGAACTCGTCGATAATGCGTACATTTCTGCTAAAGACAAGCATGTTGTCGTTATTGGTGGTGGTGACACTGGTAACGACTGTATTGGTACATCGGTTCGTCACGGTGCAAAGTCGGTCACCAACTTCGAGCTGCTGCCTCAGCCTCCTCCCGAGCGAGCTAGCGACAACCCTTGGCCCCAATGGCCCCGCATCTATCGCGTTGACTATGGCCATACTGAGGTTCGCCAGCACACTGGCAAGGACCCCCGAGAATACTGCATCATGTCCGAGGAGTTTGTCGATGATGGCAGCGGCAAGGTCAAGGGTATCAACACCATTCGTGTGGAGTGGACCAAGTCTCCTAGTGGCGGTTGGGACATGAAGAAGGTCGAGGGGTCTCAGCAATTTTTCCCTGCTGACCTCGTCCTCTTGGCCATGGGTTTCTTGGGACCCGAGGCCCGTGTTCTTGGAGACGAGATTGAAAAGGACGCTCGCAAGAATGTCAAGACACCTGCCGGCAAGTACTGCACCAATGTAGAGGGTGTCTTTGCTGCCGGCGATGCCCGTCGTGGACAGTCTCTCATTGTTTGGTAAGTCTTGTGTTCTTTTCCAGAATGGCTTGTATTAATTTGCTAATATTTATTGCGTAGGGGTATCAATGAAGGCCGCATGGCCGCTCGCGAGGTTGATTTGTACCTTGAAAAGAACACTAATCTTCCCGTTACTGGTGGTATCGTGAAGCGCACCGCCCAGGAGATTCTGGGCCGTGTCGCCGAAGTCAACTAAAGATTGAAATGAAACTATTTCATTTTAGTGGAGTTTTGGGGCACATTTTCTTCTCCAAAATGATGATTTATGGTTATGTTTTGCTTGTTACTGTGTATGATGGCATTGATACCACAAGACGCAGGTGACCTCGGGGTATGAGAAGAAATGATGTTTTACATTGATGATGGAGCACGTATATATGAGTACATGGCGGTTTTACGTCTGGAATAAATATAGCCTGTTGAATCAACCGTCATCCTAACACCTATGCGATGTTGTAGTTTTGTACGCCAAGGGTTGCCATGTGCAGCAATCCTAGCCTGTGGCAAGATGAGTGCGATCATCACTAGCCACGACGGATATGATTGTATCGGCATGAATATGTGCAGAGTGGGAGAATTTCTCCCCTTCCCAATCATTGCACCTGCATGTGCCGATGCGCTCATGTACCCACGTCATGCGGGAGGACTAGCATGCCGAGTTTCTGATGCGTATGTATTTCTCACATGTGACATGCAGCATTCCGATTCAATGGAAAGAATTGTGGTCAAACACACATCTTGGCAACGGCCTGCTGCACGTGTGGCCGTTTTCAGCGGTTCTTACATTTCAACACTCGACTGTAATACGAACTGAAGTGGTGGCGGGACCGAACAGAAAAGAGCAACATGAAGAGGGCTGGCAGAGCTGGCAAAGCTATGACCAACTGACCCCAGGGAGCACGTGCCGTCGCCATGACGTTGATAGGGCAATTCAATGAACCAAGAGCTGTTCAGTGGTTCAATATCCCCGGCTAGTGTCCCCCGATGCTAGACTGAAAGAGTGTGGTGGGGGTCCCCGTCTGGTCGAATGTTTCCCTGCTTCCCAACCTCCAACAGAACCAAGTAGCATGGCAACGTTGATGGGCCACCCAGCTGTCTAGACTGTGACGATAGTTCGTCCCAGTATTACTCCGTAGACCGTTGGTAAATCTTGTCCGGTCGGGGCGGAGGTGAGGCTTACTGCTGAATTTTGCTCTTGCCAAAATTTTTTTAATCCTCGCGAGGCGTCACTCCCCGCCTCTCTCTGTCTGCAGTCTGTTGTTTCTGGCAGGTTGCTGCGTTTGACTTTGGGGCTGGTGTGACGGTAGCATCTATCTACTTAGACGGGACGACCTTAGCACACCCCATCAATTGCTCCTTGAAGACTCCTCGCCGTTAACCGCCCCTCCTCCCTTTCCCACTCTCCGAGACGATCAACACCGCGAGCACGACACGATGCGATTCGGCAAGACTCTGCGCGAGGCCGTCTACACACCGTGGAAGGACAAGTACATCGACTATGGCAAGCTCAAGACCTTGCTGCACGAGGACAAGTTCGATGACGATACTGTGCCGTGGACCGAGGAAGACGAGAACCGCTTTTGCGACGAGATCTTCAATGTCCAGCTTGAGAAGGTCGCTCGCTTCCAGCAGGAGCGTTTCGACGCCCTCAAGCAACGGGTCGATGCTGCCTTTGAGAAGCTCAAGGAACTGTCGCCGGCTGAAGGCGATAAGCCTGCCACGCGCACAGAGGAAGAGACGTCCGAATTGAAGGAGCTGGAGAAGGAGCTTGACAACATCACCAACGAAGTCAAGGAGCTCAAGAAGTACAGCAGCATCAATTACACTGGATTTTTGAAGATCGTCAAGAAGCATGACCGCAAGCGAGGGGACCGGTACAAGGTCCGCCCCATGATGCAGCTTAGTCTGTCGCAGCGGCCATTCAATTCGGAGCAGGGCTACTCGCCATTGCTAAACAAGCTGTCCATCATGTACTTTGCTATTCGACAGCAACTCGAAGGTGCTTCTGCGGAGCAGACTGTGCCGAATTTGGACACCCAGGGAGAGACGCATAATGGGGAGCGGTACACTGCTCACAAGTGTAGGTGGAACTATTGCCTTGGAGCTGGAGTCCTCTGTTTGTTCAACGTATGCTGACCAAAGCCACACTCACAGTCTGGGTCCATCCCGATAACCTACTCGAGGTCAAGACGTTGATTCTCCGCCGACTTCCCGCTCTTGTGTACAGCGACCAGACATCCAAGGAGGTTGATGGCAACGACTCGCCTGCCATTACGTCTCTCTATTTCGACAATAAAAAGTTTGAACTCTACTCCGAGAAAGTTGACCGTCAGTCAGAGACGTCTTCTCTTCGATTGCGTTGGTATGGTCAGCTGAATACCCGGCCCGAAATATTCGTAGAGCAGAAGGCCGCCGATGCCTCCGGTCTAAGTGAGGAGCACAAGTTCACCATCAAGGACAAATATGTCAAGCCGTTTATTGATGGAGAGTATGCCATGGAGAAGGCTGTGCAAAAAATGGAGCGCCAGGGCCAGCCCGAAGAGAAGATTGAAAGCTACAAGGCAACTGTGGCCAAGATACAGGACTTTGTCAAGCAGAAGCAGCTGTCTCCGGTCTTGAGAGCAAACTACTCCCGAACGGCCTTCCAGAAGCCTCTGGACGATCGCGTCCGCATCTCCATTGATACCAATCTCGCATTCATTCGAGAAGATACTCTCGACTCTGAACGTCCCTGCCGTGACCCGAAAGACTGGCATCGAGCCGATATCGACAACAGCAGCATGACGTATCCGTTCCGAAACATCAACCAGAGCGAGGTTTCCAAGTTTCCATTCGCCGTGCTGGACATCAAACTCAAGGAAGATAGCAATCGTAGGCGACCCGTGTGGATCGAGGATCTCATGGGCTCACATCTTGTTCACCCGTCACCGAGGTTCTCCAAGTTTGTTCATGGTGTTGCCTCGCTGTTCGAAGACCATGTGAACAACCTGCCTTTTTGGCTCAGTGATCTCGAGACGGACATTCGCAAGGATCCTCAGACGGCGTTCGAACAAGAGGAGCAGAGACGAGCCCAGAGGGCCGACGACGCAATTGCCGTGGGCAGCTTGATTGGCACAGTGCCCAGCTCGTACAGGGCTGCGCAGAGCTCGCCTGTGGGCAAGTCGTATTTGGCTGACAGAATGGCGGCAGACTCCAAGGCAGCCTTGTCCACTTCCCTTCGAAGGAAGAGTGGCATTGCCAACGGTGAAGAAGAAGGCGAATCCAGCAACTCCCCACAGCAGCTAGAAGAACAAAGACAGAGACGTGGAGGCTACGGTACCCTTTCATCTGTGCTGCCCGGTCTCTCGCTGTCCAAGTATGCCAAGGCGAAACGTGCCCAAAAGGCACGGCTTCCCGAGGGTGTTGTTGAGCCGAAGCAATGGATCAAAAACATGGGTGAGCTAAAGGTCGAACCCAAAGTGTGGCTGGCGAATGAGAGAACATTTCTCAAGTGGCAGAATATTGCCATTCTCCAGGGCAGTCTGGCCTTGGCACTTTACACCGCAGCTGGCGAAAGCTTGCTTGCAGAGATGATGGGCATTGTCTACGTGATCATTGCGGCGTTTGCAGGGCTCTGGGGCTACTACATACATCAGGCACGGAGAGAAATGATTATGGAGAGAAGCGGAAAGGACTTTGATAATATGCTTGGGCCAATGATAATTAGTATTGCGCTAATGGTGGCGCTTGTTGTGAATTTTGTGTTGCAGGTGAGTATTTCAGATGAAACGCAGATCATTTGGCGGCCGGAGGTGTTGTACAGCCGACTGACCATTGTTTTGCAGTACCAGAAGGCGTTTTCGAAATTGAACCGCGGTAACAATGGCACGGGCGTGATCTCGGAAGAGCTGAGGTGACGGAGTGGTGGACGCAATGCTCGCTATGGGGAGTCGAGTCGAAGCAAGGCCTGTGCTTTGAGAGCTGGTACCAGGCTGTGTAAGATGAAGCTTTTTGGACAGGCCTATATCTATGATTGAATGTGTCGCAAGTACTAGTAAGACGAAGGAGGATTCGTTGAAAGCATGGTTGTTGGGACGAAGCATTTTGTATAGTTTGGATAAGTCAATTAAACAGCTGGACCATGGAGTCTTGAAACGTCAACACCTGGGGCCAAACGAATGCGAACGACACGACGACAATCCAGCTCGGTCATGCGACAGTGAAACGTGCTTGAGCGGACGGATGTTTCTCCAGTGCAAGTGCAGTCCTTGAAGTCGGAGTACGGGATATTGACGGAGGAGCCAGTTAGATCCGCATAAAAGGGCTTTCTTGGTAAACAAGTGCTCGTTGAGCTGAAAATTCGAAGACAAATTCGAACGGGTTTGTTGGTGCACGCATCTGCATTGCGTAAAGAAGCATGTTGACGTGGTCCCTCATTTGGCCAACGGCAACCCATCCTTTGCGGGAGGCATGTTGTTGGCGATTGGTCGTGGGCGAGAGCTGCAGCGCCGCCCCCCGTCAGCGTTCCATGTCTTGCCCAACCTCGTGCTGTGTGCTCTCATCCAAGTCTGGTTCATGTACTCCGTACCAGACGGATCCATGATCCAACCAGCCTCCTCGTATGCTTGCCCGGATCCTCAAAACGACACATGCCGATTCTTCGCCCTCCCTGCATCAAGAGTTGGCTGCCGACTTCTGGGGCGTTCTGATTGTCTTTTCGTCTTCTCTCTTTCCTATTCAACAATATTCTGGTCATTGTTTGTTGCGGGCCGAAAAGCTTACCGCCATTGTTCTTGGACCATGAGCATAATAGGGTAATGCGGCTATCCGACGCCTGGCTCATTACCCGTTCGTTCTTTTCTTATTCTTTTTTTGTGACACGACCGAGCGAAGCGCTGACTGGGGTTGTTATTCATGCGAGCATGACATTGGGTATATTTGAGAGATTAGGTGGCGCTGCCTTCTGGTCGCCATAAGACGCCGACACTCTTGCATCAAGCAATTGGCACACGCCTGCGAGTCTACGAGCGATTTGGCTTGGCACTTCATTTATTTCAATATCTTTTTTCAAGGCAGACAAAGGTTGGCGACAGAGTGTGATATCGGGAACACAGCGGAGCCGTTCGGAGCCATTACGCGTTGTGCCCCATGAGTTGAGCGCGTGCGGGACAGTTTTGCCGGCGATCTCGTGTTCCTTTCCGATGCCAAGATGGATGA